TTTTTGGTCAGTTGTGGGGCTTGAACTCTGGGCCTGGGCACTGTCCCTCAGCTTTTCAGCTCAAGGCAAGCGCTCTACCACTTGAGCCATAGTGCCACTTCTGATTTTCTGGTGGTTTATTGGAGATAAGAATCTCACAGACTTTTCCTGCCTGGGTTGGCTTTGAACCCCAATCCTCAGATCTCAGCCTCCTGAGTAGCTAGGATTATAGGCAGGGGCCACCAGTGCCCAGTGTGAGTGGGTGGTGATTTGATTTCTGAGTTCAATTCCCACATTGTTTAGGCCACAGCTTGCAAGAAATGACCAAATCTCTGAAAGATGAAGTGGAGGATCACAGGCAGGAATTGCAAACAAGTAAGAGGCCTTGGTTACCAAAAGTATGTAGAATGGGGGGGAGGGGAGGGAGAGGGCGGGCTTCGTGGTGCTGAGCCCCATCTCCTTCAGTCCGCAGCTTTAACCAGAACATGGCTTCCCTGAAGAGCACTCTGGAGAAAAAGGAGGAGGAACTTAAAACAGGTCAGATGATTGTGCCTTAGTAGGTGAGCATGTGTGAGCATGCAGGGAGGTTCCTGGGCCAAGTCCTGTACTGGATTCCTATCTGTGTGTCCAATGTATTCCTATCTGTGTGTCCCAGAACAATCTGCGATGCTCCTGAAAATCCAGCAGCTGGTGAAGGATTTGAGGACCGTGAACTGTGGGCTAGCTGACCTAAGGAGAAACGGTGAGAAGCACTATGGATATCGTTGGCCCCAGTTTCCTTCTAATGGTGCACTGGGCAGTGCTTCAGCCTCTGTACCCTGTTTGAAACCCATAGGCTCTGTAAAGACCTGTTGCCCCCTTCATTGGCTGGAGTATGACGGCAGCTGCTATTGGTTCTCCCAATCTGAGAAGTCTTGGTCAGAGGCTGACAAGGTCTGCCAGCTGGAGGATGCATACCTGGTGGTGGTGAACTCCCAGGAAGAGCAGGTAACACACACCTGGAGAGAGAGGAGGAGGCTCTTCTGGGAGACTGGCTGCTGTTAAGAGAGTTTACTACCCCATCTTGTCTCTTCAGAATTTTATCAAGAGTCACAAAAGTACTTTTAACACTTGGATGGGCCTAACTGACCAAAATGGACCTTGGAGATGGTTGGATGGGACCGACTACAAGCAAGGCTTCAAGTGAGTGTACATCTGCCCAAAGTTGGTTTCCTCAAGTTGGGGCTAGCCTACCCACCCTGCCGTGGTCCCAGGCCTGGTTGATGGTGGGAGTCTGACTTCAGCACATGGCTGTCTCCTGTCTGCAGGAACTGGGCACCAGATCAGCCAGATAACTGGTACGGGCACGGGCTGGGAGGCGGCGAGGACTGTGCCCATTTCACCTCCGATGGTCGCTGGAATGATGACGTCTGCCAGAGGTCCTACCGCTGGGTCTGTGAGACAAAGATGGACAAGGCCAGCTAGGAACGTTCTTCCTCTTAATTTATTTCTTTAATGGCTTGAGCCACTGAGGTCTAGGATTGAGAGTCTTCCTTGCTAGGGATCGCCATATTCTTCATGGTGTTCCTCTAGAAGTTTAAGGGGAAAGGAATGGATGATGGCTAGAATGTAAGATGATGTTTGATGACACCTTATGCAGCGTATAGCTCATTATGGGCAACCTTTTATTAAATAAAAGAGAAATATACTTAACTGTTTTATGAGTTATCTTGTCACGGATGTGAACAGGAGTGGGCTTACTGGTATTAGGAAGCCTTGGGAGGGCCAGGCCTTCATGAGAGCCCAATGAGTTTCAGTCCAGATGGTCTGGTTAGGATGTGGGCTCAGAGAGTCACTCTGTTCTCTGAGTCTCAGCTATAAAATCTTATTGTTACTGGTAACTTCCTGCTTGTTCCAATATCCTACAGTATCATCCCTGGAGCCGAACGATTTCCTAAGTGCTTCCAAAACTTGGAATGACTATTGGGGTCTATTACCTTTATCACAGAAAAGAGAAGCTGCGTGCAGAGAGAGGTGACAAACACCATGACTTTACAACCCAGAGTCACCAAACACAGCACAAGCAGGACTGTGAGGAGAAGCCTTGGTTGTTGATTATTGATTTTCAACACCCAGGGATGGCAATGAGAACTGACCAAGCAGGATTAGCAGATGCTTCTGAAATTGTTAATAAAAATGGAGTGAATGTTTGCTCTTAATAAGACCTCAACTGATTCCAAAATAGAGCAATGCTCTGACTAGGCTGAAACAATTGGAAATTCACATGAAAGTACATTCTAGGAACCTGTATCAACATATAATTTCCTCACTGTCTAATCTGGGTTCAGGAGACAATCCAAATTGAAGGGAGGATAGGCCAAGATGATGGGCTACACCCATCTGCCATCTCTACCCTCTGAATAAGAATAATTAGTGTTAGGGGCTGGGAAGGTGGCTCAGTGGTAGAGCGCTTGCCTTGCATGCCTGAGGCCCTGGGTTCGATTCCTCAGCACCACATAAGCAAAAAGAAAAAAGCCGGAAGTGGCACTGTGGCTCAAGTGGTAGAGCGCTAGCCTTGAGCTGAAGAGCTGAGGGACAGCGCCCATGCCCAGAGTTCAGGCCCCACAACTGGACCCCTCCCAAAAAAAAAGAGATGGTGGAGGAGATGTTGCGGGGGGGGGGGAACCTTAAATTTCAAGAAGCAAGATTGTTAGTTTAGATGCCAGTCTTTTGGGAAGTCTGGCTGTGTGTCTTGAGAAGCAACATTTTCAGTTTAGATGCCAGTGTTTTGTTACCTGTGCCTCAGGATATCGATTCCTCAGTACCACATAAACAGAAAAGGCTGGAAGTAGTGCTATGGCTCAAGTGGTAGAGCGCTAGCCTGGAGCAAAAGAAGCTCAGGGACAGTGCCCAGGCCCTGAGTTTAAGCCCCAGGACTGGCAAAAAAAAAGTTTGACAGAAAGGAAGTGACTACTTTGATAGAAGAGAGGGTTTTGTATTACCTGTGATGCAAAGTTGGGATTTCCTGACTGCTGGGGTTTACAGAACTAGCTTAGGTCTGACAGGCAGTGTTTCTACCCCTGGAGAGCTTCAGCAGCAACATGTAATACCCCACACAAGCTACTGCTAAAGGCAGCTGAGGCCCCTAAAGGCAGCCACTCTAGTTATCTGGCACTGGAGGAGTTTGGGAAACCACTGCCTGGCCATAGAGCAGAGAAACCGTAACAAATCTGTAAAGTCTCTGAATGTGTGGGCATGTCAATTCTTGGTAACTCTATCCTCACTGGCTGGGAGAGTACTGCAAAATCAGAAGCCAGGGAAGTCTTGAACTTCTGAATAGGAGGTCTGGGACTTAGTCACTATCCTGAGCCTGTTACCTGGCTTTAACCTACTGACTTTTGAGGAAGACAGAGCACTCATACCCAGATGTAAAGAATATGATCACAGAGCTTCCCATACCTTGCAAAGAATTGTACATAGATAAATAGATATATTCACACACATTGGCAATAAAAATATATACTTTGGGAGGTACAAGGCGTGAACAAAGGTAGCAGTGGTACTTACTTGCACTGTTGGATGAACTCTACAACTTGTGGGTGGAGATGGGAGAGAAAAACTGGGAGAGAGCAAGGGAAGGGGTGACATTGTCGAAAAAGAAATGTGCTCATTACCTGACTTATGTAACTGTAACCCCTCTGTATGTCATGTTTATAATAACAATTAAAAAACTGAAAAGGCCTGGGAATGCGGCTTAGTGGTAGAGTGCTTGCCTAGCATACATGAAGCCCTGGGTTCGATTCATCAGTACCACATAAACAGAAAAAGCCAGAAGTGGCTTGGTGGCTCAAGTGGTAGAGTGCTAGCCTTGAGCAAAAAGAAGCTCAGGTTCAGTGCCCAGGCACTGAGTTTAAGCACAGGAGTGGGAAAAAAAAGAAAGAAAGAAAAAGCAGACCATTCAAATTATTTAGAATGTACGGAAATGATGGTAGCTGTGTAATATTCCTTAACACGTGTAAATTTAAAATAATTTACCTTTATCCTTGTATCCACCTAACTCCAAATTTGGAGCAAAAATTATGCAAGCAAATCATACTTTGTATTATGTTAGTCTATCTTTAATTTCTCTTTAATTTTGTATGTGGGCTGGTCCTGGGGCTTGGACTTCAGATCTTATGCTGTCTCTCCATTGGCTGATTTGTTCATGCCTTAACTCGACCACTGAGACCACACCTCCACTTTCAGCTTTTTGCTGGTTATATGGAGGTAAGAATCTTGTGGATTCGGGTTGGGGATGTGGCTTAGTGGTAGAGGGCTTGCCTAGCATGCATGAAGCCCTGGGTTCAATTCTTCAGTACCATAAACAGAAAAAGCCAGGAGTGGCACTGTGGCTCAAGTGGTAGAGTGCTAGCTTTGAGCAAAAGAAGCTCAGGGACAGTGCCCAGGCCCTGAGTCCAAGCTCCAAGACTGGCAAAACAAACCAACAAAAAACAAAGTACAAAAGAATCTTGTGGATTTGTCAGCTAGGGCTGGCATCTAACTGAGATTCTCAAATCTTAGCCTCATGAATATCTAGGATTATAGGTTTATACCACCAGCTCCTGGCTTGTTTGAATTTTTTTTTCTGTCTGAGACCCAAAAACCCCTCAAACTTGCTATGATGCTTGGCTTTGGCTCATTGGTTGGTGCCATGCCTCCAACTCCATTTTAATTTTTTGTCGGTTGTGGGGCTTGAACTCTGAGTTTGGGCGCTGTACCTGAGTTCTTCAGCTCAAAGCAAACACTATACCACTTGAGCCACAGCACTACTTCCACTTTGCTGGTAAATTGGAGATAAGAGTCTCACAGACTTTCCTGCCCAGGCTGGCTTTGAACCATGATCCTCACATCTCAGGCTTCTGAGTAGCTAGGATTACAGGCATGAGCCACAACCAGAGCCCGGCCCATTTTAATTTTTATTTTTTTTGGTTGGTCGTGGGGCTTGAACTCTGGGCCTGGGCGCTCTCCCTCAGCTTTTCAGCTCAAGGCTAGTGCTGTACCACTTGAACCACAGCACCACTTCCGGTTTTCTGAGTGGTTTATTGGAGATAGGAGTCTCACAGTCTTTCCTGCCCAGGCTGGCTTTGAACCGCGATCCTCAGATCTCAGCCTCCTAAGTTGCTAGGATTATAGGCATGAGCCACCGGTGCCTGGCCCCATTTTAATTTTTTATTCATGTAAATATATAGATTACCCCCCCATATAACATATAGACAATTTACTTTTTTATTTTAAGTTTTTAGTGTTAGCCCAATGAGCTCTTTTCCCCATAGCTTAGCACACTCCTTCCCCCTTCCACAGCTTGGCATGCCCCCTTCCTAGGCACAACACCGTGCCTGTTTAGTAAAGGCAGTAAATAATCAGCCTCCAATCCCCCTTGACCTTGAAATGGCATTCCTCTGGGGCAGCTACCACCATATAAGGCAGCAAGAACCCTTTAGAGTGACCTTCAGGTCTGCGCAGCTGCAGGGCCCCTTATCTACTACTTGGGCAGCAGCTATATATCCTAGTCTACCATGATGAAGCCCCTGGTACTCACGTCGACACCAGGGTCTCTGTCTCCTAGCCCCCTTCTAGCCCCTTCTAGCCTCAGTAGGTTATATAGGTCACCTCAGACAATAGCCAGCACTTTTCAGTTCTCTCTTGTGAGAAGGGATCTTGCTGGCCATAAACCTTTTCTTTGTTCTTTGTATGGATGTTTGCATAGCTTTCTGGCAAAGTCTAATTTATTCTAACATTTAGTATAGATGATTTACCATATCCCATTCACTCGTTAGTCCTGTCTTCCTTTTCTCTGAACTCATCTGTACCACAACAGATAGCTGCCTTTTTTTGGGGGGGGGGGCAGGGGGTCAGTCATGGGCTTGAACTCAGGGCCTGGGTGCTGTCCCTGAGCTTTTGCACAAGGCTAGCCTTCTACCACTTTGAGCCATAACTCCACTTCTGGTTATCTGGTGGTTAATTGGAGATAGTCTCATGAACTTTCCTGCCAAGGATGGCTTTGAACCACCACCACATTCTCAGATCTCAGCCTCTCAACTAGTTTAATGAGCTACCTGTGCTTGGCTAAGCTAGTTGCCTCTTAGTACTCAATTTTTTTTAAATTTTTTTTTGGGGGTCCGGTC